ATATATATATATATCTATTTATCTCTCTCTCTCTCTAGATTTATAGGACAATTCTATCTGTCTATCTATCTATCAATCTATCTATCTATCTACCTTATATATATATATATCTATTGATCTATCATATATCAATTTCTCTCTATAGCTATATTTATATGTAAGCCTCTCAATGTCCACTATATATCTATTATCATGAAACTCTAATATACACTTTAGTTTCCATGCTAAACAGTTCCTCACAGTTTATAGTCAGCAGGAGGCGTATTATTATTACACTTTGATGATTGTGAGGGTTGTAGCTGTCACATTTTAAGTGACTTCAATTCTGTTACTTTTAAACAAGAGAAATGTGTATATATAAAATGAACTGTCTGATAGAGAGATATCACTGCCACAGATAATCTCTGCTGGTTAAAAATCTAAAATGTCATTGTCTATAAACCGAGCGGTCCTTGTAACATTTAAACATTTTATATATTGGAATGTAAAGAAGAATTTCCGATTATTGGAAAGATTCGGTCTCTCAGGAAAGAGCATCTTTCATCATTTGCAGGACACAGACAAGAATATCCTATTACTTAATGCAAACCTCGATAATAAACCTACAGCTTTAATTTCCTGACCATGGCAGCTTTGTTCTTATTAATCATCACATCTAAGAATCCAATTATTAAATCATGTTCATGTTTTATATCAGTAGACTGCAATTTTGACTACAATAAAAAAAATGACTAAAAAAGGAAGAAATGAATGAGGTACGAGTTGAAGGCTTGTGTATAAAACAGCTGGAAATATGATTATGATACGGAGCTGGCAATATCTGAGCAGATTGGGGATATGTGCTGCCTATTTTTTTTTGGTTTACTAAAATCGAAAAACAAACTATGAAAGAATTTAAATAAAACAGCGACGCTTGGCGTGGATCTGATTCATATTTTTACCGAACATATTTTACTGAAACTACTTATCTAAAAACCTGCAGGTGTAATTTGTAGATTTGCAGATTTACTCACTACCGTATGTCTTGAAACACTTGAACAAAAATGTGTCCTGTCATAAGAAACGGTCAATTCTTGCAAATATTTCTCAACTGTTTTATGCACACAAATGCCAGTCATTTCAGCAACCAAACAACTGCAAAATAATATAACACATGATTGCTGTGCAGATAATATGTAGCTGATGTGGCTGCAAAATAACTGCTATATAAAAGGTGCCCAAAGTGCTGCTGCTTTTCCACTGATGATTATTTAGCATTGGCAGCAAAAATGTAAAAAATAAAAGAGATTTCTGCAACGGTTCAGTCCACTCTACACTGCCCTGATCTGGCTTCAAGTCTGATACATATATTGATGATATAATTAGGACTAAAAATATATATATATACAGCAAACTCTCAGTTATCCGGTATTCAACCAACCAGAAAAAAAAATCCCCTGTGTACTCACTGTTCTGCGGCATGTATTATCCTGGAAAGGATTGTGTGTCTGTTTGTCTTAATTTGCTTGTGATTACAGCATTTCAATATTAATATGAAGTCAATACAGAGTTTATGTTTTGGTATAGTATGGGACATGGCATTAGTTAGACCTGTTTTTAATAGTAACTCTCAAGCAACCAGAAACTACATGTATCCGGTATCTACCAATCCCCATGGATGCTGGATAACGGGGAGTTTAATATATGTGTAATATTTCTTTATTTTTTTTATTCAGAGATAAATATTGTGAAGCAATTTATACTATATCATAGCTACAAATATGGAAGGATGGAGGAGTGGAAATAAAGGAGAGGGTTCTGGAAAAGGTTTTAACCCATAAGTTAGGTTTTTTTAAGGTCTTTTTTTTTAATGGCACCTTAAACAAAATTTGTTGCCTTTGAAATAGTGCAACGGAATTTTGCTTTTTTTTTTTATTTCTCCTGAGCTGCTTGGGTATTTGAAGCAAACAAAAATACCTCAAACTTAGCATAAAAATGGCAAGTTCAGTAAATTACCTAAACCTAACCAATGGGCTCACACGGTCCTGCTGTAGTTGATGCTCCTGTCAGGTATGAAAAAAAAACTTTTACCATGTGATAAAACACACACAGTTGCTCTTGTTTTTAAACACTTGGCTAGACACATTTCAGGACAATGAGTCACATCATGTGACTAAATCATTTTTACAAGAACAAGTCCCTTCCTGGAAACATCAAAAAGGTTAATGACCAGGGGAGCACAGAGATGTTTGGGGGTACGCTGAAGTCTGAGGCTGGTGGTGGGAAGGGGTGTATGATGGAATTACTTGATTCTTCTTTATGGTAGTCTATGATGTCAACCCGCTGCACGCAGGTAAAGGAGAGGACAACTTGATTTGTTTTGTTTTCCAGGCAGTTATACAAAATAAAAAAATATTTACTGGATTGAAAATAATTCTGCATATTTATCTATCTGGCGCTCACCTTTCTGCCTACCTAACTTGCTCTTCTATTTAATCTATCGATCTATTTTATTTGGTTTAGACACTCTGTGCTTTATCTGAGTTTGCCATATGCAAAAAAAATAACAGAAGGCCAAAATCCCTCATTTTACAAATTATGACATCTATCTTTATTAAACTGTAATCTAAACACTTACATTTATAAGAGTATAAAAGGCTCATTTTTAATACGATAACAACCAAATGCAGCCCAGAGACATCTCATGGCACGGTTTGGGTAGCTGAGTTTGGACTCTGGAATTCAGAGACTGTTGGAATCAGTATGATAAGATGATACCATATTTCTCCTCTCTATACATTAGGCAGCATATTGAATATTTGGGGGGATGCTTTATATTTCCAGGATCAGCTCCTCAAGCCCTGGGAATCATTTGTTAGTACATATCCCTGTATCCATTGCAGAGTGAATTGTCTGTGATTCCATAGCTTTCCTATGCTGATATTGGCAGCGTTTGATGGATGCAGAATCGGGAATAATTCGTCTTTATTCCCATTTACTTGTTTGCACTTGTTCACTTGTCTTTTACAGAATTTAATGTTTTAATAGAATTACGAGGTGACAACCAGGAGAGTTTTTTTTTTTTTTGGTTCCTTTTAAAGTGAAAATCCTGCTAATAGCCAGATAAGCTACTGTTTCCCAATGACCAAACATTTAACGTCTCATGAAAATGAATAATATGGAGGCTGATAACAAGGAACATCTGTCTGGCACTGCTCGGGAGTCAGCAAGTAAAAATGTGCTGGAGTGCCAAAAAAGAGCAGAAGTGTTCCATTGATGACTATTCAAGTTTTTTTTTCTTTTTTATATCTAAGCTCAAAACCCACATAAATAAGGACGACCCCCGGGACTAGTCCGCTGGGTGTAGGTTCAGATCGTGTCCTTATATTGCGTGCTGGCTGCGAGGAATAATAAATGAAATTTAAACTTGCTTTTCCCCTCACAGAATAACAGTGAAGAAAATGTAAGGATTAAGATTTGCAGATTTATTGCTGGGGTTAAATCTTCATAAATAAAATCTGGTACTTTGATACGCTAGTCTGCGCTACTAGTTCATAAAGGACTGATGGAAGGTTTAATCTCACCGGCTGCGAGGCAGAACAAACTAAAAACTTGTTTTCCCCATAACTAATCCTTTATATAATAAGGATAATAATCGGGTATAAGAAAAAGTCATTGTAGAATGGATGAGCAAACGGATCAATCTCTGATAATAACATGATGCCATAATGTTTGGGTTCATCTAAAAAGAATGTGGTCCTTAGTGGAGCTCCTACTTCATATAGGACCGATGATGGCTTTACAATATATAAGAATACATATACTGCCTGCCGGGAATAACAAAATTCACTTCAAACGTGCTTTCTCTAGAGGTGATCCCGTATAAAATGTAACAGTAATTGTATGAGAAGCAGTAAGAGGCTACAAATGTAGAATCGATGAGCACATGGAGGAAGAATTGATGATATGATGTTTGGGGTTAAATCTAAAAAAAAGAAATGTGGTCCTAACTAATGTGAATGTAGGACTGATGTATGTAATGGCTTCACAACACTTATATATACATATATGCACAAAGTCATGTGTGTGGAGCGGTCTGCGTGTGCTTATGTGTCATCTATCGATATTCCTTATATTGAGATATATATATATATCTCTCTCTATATATATGTATCTCTCTCTCTATATATATATATGTATATCTCTCTCTATATATATGTATCTCTCTCTCTATATATATATATGTATATCTCTCTCTATATATATGTATCTCTCTCTCTATATATATGTATATCTCTCTCTATATATATGTATCTCTCTCTCTATATATATGTATATCTCTCTCTCTATATATATGTATCTCTCTCTATATATATATGTATCTCTCTCTCTATATATATGTATCTCTCTCTCTCTATATATATATATACGTCTCTCTCTCTCTCTATATATATACACGTATCTCTCTCTCTCTCTCTATATATATATATGTATATATATATATCTCTCTCTCTTATATCTATATCTCTATATATATGTATATATACAGCACATATATGATCGTGTGTGTATAAGTGGTGTGTGTATAGACATAGATAGATCGATAGAGAGATTGATAAAGAGAGAGAAAGAAATATAGATAGATAGATAGATACATAGATAGATAGATCAATATATAGTAGATAGATCGATATTGGGTGACAATAAGACACAAGTCCATGGGGTTCAAACAATAAGAAATATAAAATGTTAGCAGTGTCTGTTTTTTTGGAAGCTTTCCTATCTATGGATCTCTCTGCTGAGAAGTTTTCTGGGTTCATTACCCTCATATAAAACAGACACTGATGACTTCAGGCAATCATACATGGTGGCACCGACCCCCAACACCCACAACATTGCACCCCCTGTCCTACCTTGAAAGCGATGGGCAGAGTCTTGTTGCACCTCCAGTGGGTCGGCAGCACTGAGCAGAGGAAGTTCGGGCTGTCTGTACGGACCAGCTCCCCGGGGTGATCGGACAGCACCTCCACCATGTTCCGATCCGCGCTCCTCAACTTGCCCACCAGGGCGGCGCTGCTGTTGCTGCCATCCGGCCCGCTCAGCGACAGGGTGTCAGTCATCTTCCCCGGGCTCAGGGTGGTGGAAGGCGGCGTGAAGCGGCGGCTGGTGCTGGTATCTACGGGGATACGCATCACAACAAGCCTGGTGAGTTAAATGTACACTTTTTGGGGGGGCAGATACAAAGTACACAATATCCCAGATCACCCCCCTCCCGGGGATCACAGTCCACGGTGCAATCACAACTCTTCCAAAGTTTTAGGAACAGTCACACTTGACAGCCTTTGGGGGGAGGGGGGGGGGAGCAGTCTAGACAAGGACAGGGGACATCCCAGGACCTTCCTTCCAGGTCACAAACATCAGCCCCCCTTTGAAGAACAGTGCACCCCCCTTTTTGTCCCTTTGAAGAAGACCCCTTTGCTAGTTACAATCCATCAGCACTGAGGAGCAAGTCAGTGGGTTGCGGCTGTCAAGTCCTCCCAGGCATCTCTGATGGCTTGCTTGGCTCTCGCAGCCCTTGGTGGCTTGCTTTGACTTGTGGACAGCACGTTGAAGTTGGGTTTTGGTTTTAGTAAGGGGGGGGGGGGGGGGGGGGTTCTTTTGTG